AGCAACGCTAACATACACTTACAGGGAACCCCTTTAAGACTTTGGCTTGCTTTCAAGGATAATTTGTTCTGTCTCTTTTTTTTTGGGTTCGTTGTTCTCAGAATAATCCCCCAGGAAGTCAGATTTAAAACACATCGCACATTGCACAATCCCCCCCTCCCCCACTCCTGTATTGTCGCTCTGACTGAGCGAATCAGAATTAATCGTTTGAGATTTCTAACAAGAGGATGACGCAGAAATGCGTTGCAGGTAAAAAAAAATAAAAAAAAAACTACGCTATCTACTCCTTCCTTTTGCCTTACCAACATGATATCACAATAGGTCATTTAGCCCCATTAAAATTATTATGGTATGACCTTTTCATGATGTATGTGTTGAATAATGATTGGCCTTTTATTGAGTGTCGATACATTTACGTTTTAGCTTTATGTAATTATTTCTGTTCTCATTTTGAGAACGTGGAATTACCCGAATCGACCTAACTTTATATGACGAGTGTTTTTGGTAAAGTAGAGAAAGGTTAATTTTCTGGAAAATCAGGTCATATTCTTATTCTTTTTAAACTTTTAAACTATTTTTACACTTCGTCTACTGTAAACAAACTAAATTTGACGCAATCGTATTTCAGCGAAGTTTCATCGTTCGAAAATGTTTATCAACGTCCATGATAATTGTTTCTATGAATCGTTAAATGATATCACTGTTAAAATGTATACAGTAATTCTTGTTTAACTCATTGTTATTATAGTACCTGCTTTCGGCGTTCTACCTTTCGAAGATAGAATATGATCACAATAAAAAAGACTTTGAATTGAATTAACAGAAAATACTATAAAGAAAAATACATCTTTTTTCTTACAGTTGTTTTAAAAAGTCGCACTATTTTCAAACAGGGATTATGTAGTTTTTGAAACATGCGTTTTTTCTTTATTTTATATTCACGGTGTAAGCGAGTTGTAAATACACACTAACATTCCTCACAACCTTCCAGTAATTGATATTTGATATCATTATAGAGATCTCGTGTGGTACGAGAATAGGTCACGCGCCCATCATGACGTGGTTTGGCGCCTATGATCTTTTGTTTTATGTTTCTGGTTGTGGGTTGATGTAACCTAATTTGTAATCTGACACACTGTAATGTCCCCTAACAATATGCTTAACAAACGTTACCGTCTTTATATTGGAGAATGCCAATCAGGCTTCAGGATTGTTCTCCATATCCTTCCTACTCTGACGTTGGTTGATATGTGTTAAGCACGCATTCCACCCATGGTAGTATTGTGACAAATGAGGTTTGATATGAAAAATCTCCTCTCTTATTTGTTCTCTCTATTGCGGCTGTATTTTGTGGAGATATTGTCTTCTGTCCCTTCAGAGCAAAGAGTGATATTCTGTAGTTAATACTCTGTTCCTTTCAATGTTAAACAAATGGTCACTCTTTCATGTATTAAAATATAAAAAAAAAACATAAAAACAAACAAAAAACAAGAAACAAAATAAATAACAAAAAACACCAACGTAATTCTAATTAAGAAAAACAAATATACATGTCTATCACAATACAAATATATTATCATTCTGGCGAATAATTAGTAAGAATACATTTGATGATCATGGTCTGAATTGTTGGGGGCAGGAAACATAAATCAGACGGAGACAATTTGAATAATAGACAGATAAGAACACTTCTTCTTTTATATTGTTAATAATGTTCAACATCCGATCGTATTTAATACATGCCAAGCACAAGTGTATATTTTGAATAACGTCACCATCGATAGTAATTAAGAAGTAGTCGACAGGAATACGGAAGCCCACGAGCCACCACTAAGCAGTTCCCGGATGGAAGTCGTAGGAAGTATACATTAGATCATACTATTTTTGTGATAAAAAATTCAATAATAATAACCTATATCTATTTTACAACAATTGCGCAGCAAGTTTTTCCAACTTATATTAATCACTCTTGTTGGCTCGGATGGAAGCGCGCGAGGGGTCTTAGTGTGGGAGGAAACCGGAGTATCCGTGGGAAAACCCACGTGATCGGACAGGTGATCCCCATACATTTTTCAATCCTATGGTACACGTGATAATTCCATATATTAAACTTTTTTTCTTTGAAACAACCTCAAAACGCTAATGAAAATTAGTAAGCTCAAGTGAAAAGAATTATAATTTGCTGTGACCTTCTGGGGCTCTACTGTGACACATATGACCTAATAAATGCACACACACATAGGTACAAACATATATGTGTTTTCTGCGGAACATCACCTTTCAATTTCTTGAAAACGGTTATATTTTGATTTACGTGTATATACTTATAAAAGTATCTATTTTACAGACATATTTGATAAATACGTCACTCATGTTTTAATACATATAGGATATTTAATAGTGTCTTCAGTGAAAGATACCAAAAATATTAGCCACAATAGTGTAATATATTTGTTATTACTAAAGACACTTTTAAATATTCTGTTTATTACATTTTCATCGCAAAAATAAACCAAAACAATGACAAACTTACGATAACTATAAAATGGGTAAGTTGACCATGCTTTTTCCAGACACTACTCGCTCATTATACAACATGTTGTGCGTGGCAAAAAAACAGTCCATTTTATAAAAAAAATCAGTTAAAATATACAGACTCATAAATAAATCATAATAAATGTTTATTTGTGTTTGGACATGGATTTTGTAATTTATTGATGTCACTTATACACAATAAAATGGTTTAAACGTAAACTGTAAAAATAAAGACAATGTTTGATAAATTCTTCCGCGCATGAAAAAGTATGGCCCCATCCTAGTCGTTGGAGTAGATTTGTACTAGATTTTGTATATTGGTCAATCCTAACTAGTGAAAAATATCACTTTTATCAGTTTGAGATATCCCTATATTTCGCTGCTAAAAATGTAATAAAATGTAATTATTTACATGTGTCTTAGATATTTTAATATTTTTAGAGAAGGTCAGAAATCAAGACACCTCTTCGATACCACTAGCAGTCTTTAAAGAATTTACTCATCAAACTATCATTTCCTTTTCGCAAAAGACAATGGCATCTTCTTACAGTTTGATTAAAGAGAGTATCATTACGAAAAAGGGAAATACTGACATATCAATGTCGAAATCGATTAAACGGGGAAAGAGGTATACATAAACAAACAAACAAACAAACAAAAATATATGCTCAATAACCTTGAACATATAAGTCTGGACGCTTAGATGAAAGGAGCGTGCGTTATCAGATCGTATTTCAAACGACCTAGAAATATGAAATACCCCGTCCTTAAATCAGGAAGGCTAACAACAACGAAAGCATCAGGCATACTAAACTGCATCGAACACAAAGTTAATATCACACAAGGAAACACAAAACTCCACAACAGTATTTATCTAATAATTATTTCACAAGTGAGTATCACAAATCATACAATACGATAACAGTACAATAACATACCAAACTCTATCCTTTTCATTTTTGAGGAAGCGGCATTACCTGGTATTTCAAATAAGTTGAAAAGATAAAATGTCAAATATTGTCGAGAAAGCAACAACATTTTAGCCTTCATTAATGCATCTTCTTCTGGGGCAATTGCCATAGGTCTCCATGTCAATTTTTACCGTCCTCCTCCCCCCATCCCCCATCCCCCATCCCCCCCTCCTCCTTTTTTTCCCTCATTAACTCGTTTCTTATGTGATGTAATGCTTTATTCCAGACTTTCTGATGGCTGTGTTCTACATCTTCCCAGTGGTGATAGATCGACTCTTGGACGTCTGGCTTGCAGGCCTGTTCATGTGTAAAATCATTAAGTACCTGAGTTTGGTGGTGTGTTTCGCCTCGACTTATATGTTAGTGGTGTTAAGTATCGACAGATTATACGCTATCGCACGACCCTTGTCCGCGACTAGGAGAGGCATTGTCTACAAATGGACACTGGTCATCTTCGCCTGGGTCATTGCCGCTATGCTAGGTGTCTATGACCTGGTGTTTGCTGGGATCCTGACAGGAATACCAACCCCTGAAAATGATACTCCCTTCTGTGAAATATCATACCCAGATAAGTTGGTAAGTTACTGTAAAATACTTACATTTCGCGAATATTTCATTTCGCTGATATACGTCTTCACACGTATTCGAATATACAAGATTTAGAAATTATTTTAAATTTTCCATTGATGATCTAATGAAAAACACGGAAGTTGCAAGACTCTGAAATTGGTAACCAAATAAACATAAAAATTATCTTCGTTCAAATATTCGTTAGGGATTTGAATCCGCGATTGACTTTCCAACGTGATATATATATATATATATATCACGTTGGAAAGTCAATTATTTACTTTACATATTTGTGATAACATCTTGTTTATATCATGTATAACTGATACCATAGTTAGCATGATGTTCACTAACTTTAGCAAAGAATGACGAGATAAACAGTAATTATATTAATTTCATTTCTAGGAAATGTTGCACTATCAAATCAAATGAGTAACTAATCGACTCTACGAGAAAGAAAAAACCCTCACGGACTATCTCTGGTATCAAATTATGCTGACAAATGTTGCGTATCACAATTAGGGTTTTGCTCCTTCAGTAGTAGATTTTATAAACTGTGTTTGAGAGAGAAAAACAGGTACAAAAAATATTTATAATGACCACGCTATTCGATAACTTGACCAGTAAATTGAATTCGGCCAAGTGTTATTCAGAAATATGTTGATTAAAGACATGGTCAGGCAACCAATTCAGTCACAATTTATTTCCACTTCTTTCAGAAATAATATTTGGGAAGAGAAAAAATATTTACTATTATCTATGTTTTTTGGATTTTTTTCCAGAAGAAGCTCTTGATCCTTTTGTTTGCTTCCACCAATATGTTCATTCCTGCACTGATAATTGGAGCCTGTTATACGGCTATCGTGGCCATCTTGTGGCGCAGAGGAAGACAAGGGATTCCACTGTCTAGTCGCCAGACAACAGGTCAGGTTTATACTACATGTCGATCTATCTGTTCACTAACATCGCTATACAATGTAACTGTAGAATTTCCAAGGTTTCGCGGTTACTCCCATTTACGATAGCCGAACGAGGAGTTAATTCTAATGACGCAACTATAAGCATTAAACAGAACATTTCTGGATGTTATTTGTTAGCCCTAAAATGTCTTTAATTTCGCACAGTCCTTAAAGACAGCGAATACAGAGAAATTAAATTCTTTTGAGAATGTAACAATTTATACAGTACAAGTTTGTGTTTGGATAGAGTTTTCTTGCAAAAAGGAGTTTAGGTCAACTAATCACTGGATTCAGCGTTAGGGTAAACCAAATCCCCTGAAATGCACGGATATGAGCGAACATAGAGGAGACGGGGGATTTCTTAAGTTAACGTTATAGTTGCATTTGCATTCTGCATCAAACTAGAGTCAAACATATCATGTTACCCGCACTTGTTCTCATATGAACGAAATTGAATCATTCCTGCTGTATATAGCTCTCTCAATTAAAATCGCTTTTGCGTCATTAATTTCCAGATAAACCTCATTTGTCAATCGACTAATGATAGAGTGCGTAGGCTTGTTTGACGTGTGTGGACTTTACGTAATCATTATCATGACCCTGCGACACTGTTGGATTCAATTTTGATTGTTACAAATAAAACCCTCTGTAGGAACCTTAAAAGTTCCGCCATGTTGTTAATCACGTACTTCAGTGTGTCGTAATATGACCCCATACTATTTTTATAAATCGGATACTGACCAATCGTTTGAATGCATCCATGCTTAGTTAAGTTACCATATTCTGGAAACTTGGAACTTGTTATCTTGATGCTTTCATGCAGTGTTTTGATAAGCACTTTACATAATGCACAACTACATTACTATTGTAATTAATATCCGGGTTATGATAAAACTTTAAGAAGCATTGATATTGAGAGAAAACATGCTTTAAAACGCATGTACACAACATGGTTAAGAATACACAGGAAAATATCAATTATCGTTATATCGCGTTCGGAAAGGAAACGGTCACAATTTACAGCGCAACATCCTATACAGAACACACGAAACACATCATACAAATCAGTGTATCATAACAGTGCAGGGGAGCGCAATTTGAGTTTCAATTAGACTATATGAAATAACTTACTGCACATGTCCTTTGTTTTGAATACATACGTTTAACCAAGATCAAGTTTGTCAGTACAACTTCAACTGATAATGTATATAAAACAACTTCAAAACCGAATATATATTAAAAAAACAACTTCAACTCCGAATGTATATAAGACAACTTCAAAACCGAATATATATAAAAACAATTTCAAAACCGAATATATATAAATACAACTTCAACTCCGAATGTTTATTAAACAACTTCAACTCCGAATATATATAAAAACAACTTCAACTCCGAATGTTTATTAAACAACTTCAACTCCGAATGTATACAAAAACAACTTCAGCTCCGAATGTGTATAATAATAACTTCAACTCCGAATATATATAAAAGCAACTTCAACTCCGAATGTATACAAATACAACTTCAACTCCGAATATATACAAAAACAACTTCAACTCCGAATGTGTATAATAATAACTCCAACTCCGAATGTATAGTAAACAACTTCAACTCCGAATGTATACAAATACAACTTCAACTCCGAATATATACAAAAACAACTTCATCTCCGAATGTATATAAAAACAACTTCAACTCCGAATGTATATAAAACAACTTCAACTCCGAATATGTACAAATACAACTCTAACTCCGAATGTATATAAAATCAACTTCAACTCCGAATGTGTATAAAAACAACTTCAACTCCGAATGTATATTAAACAACTTCAACTCCGAATGTATACAAATACAACTTCAACTCCGAATATATATAAAAACAACTTCAACTCCGAATGTATATAAAACAACTTCATCTCCGAATATGTACAAATACAACTCCAACTCCGAATGTATATAAAACAACTTCAACTCCGAATGTATACAAAAACAACTCCAACTCCGAATGTATATAAAACAACTTCATCTCCGAATATGTACAAATACAACTCCAACTCCGAATGTATATAAAACAACTTCAACTCCGAATGTATACAAAAACAACTCCAACTCCGAATGTATACAAATGCGTGATGTCAATTTTAGAAGGTTAAATATTATTTTGATCGCGTGAAAATTATATAAAATAGAAAATCAAAAGACTGAGCGCATCACGTGGGACATTATATCGTGATGTTAACGATCATCAGTGACATTATAAGATGTGTATCTATTTTTAGACATTCAATTGTGCTATATTATCTCGTGATCTTGTGAAAAAAAGGACCGTAAGAGGAGAAAACTGTGAAACAGACACGTTTGAGACCAAACTATTTAATTACCTTACTTTAGAAAGCCACGTGTATTACGGTGTCAGACATGTATGATAACAGATTTATATCTGTAGTTCTCTACATGATAAAGTATCTAGTAAAGTCTATAGCTAAAACGACATCCACATGAGAAGTTTAAATGCGTCTGCTACAGCTGAACTATTTGATATCTTGTTGCTTATACCAATTCCCTTTCATGCTGTTCCGGAGTAGATCGGGTTCTTCACGATACGTCTGTTCTATCTATCTATCACATACTTACACACATGACATCACCTTTCAATAGAAGTATTCAGATTTCGTACAATTAGTAGTAATTCGTCTAAATACTGTTTGCACCTTATAAAAATAGCGATTTGAAAGATCGCGGTATTATTTACGCAGAAAATTGCCGCTAGAGGGCTCTAACTCTTTTCGATATTTCAGCCAATGAGAAGGCCAGGATCGGTAAATTTTGTCTGAAAGGCCGTCGCAATAGACTATTCGTACTGAGTACGTTTAGCCTAAAAACTCTTGAGTGATGTTAACGGCACCGTGGATGATTAAAGAAAGCACGTGACCATATGAGGAATGTTCGAATGTGAATAACATATTTCATTGCATATTTCATACAAGATACAGTAAAGTCAAATGATGAATTAAGCTGCATCTCTAATCAAACAGATGATAACAGAACACAACACAAATCATGTTAGTGAGATGAGTTGAATATTGGATATTAAAAGATTCTAAAAGATAATGGATGCTATATCCACAAATTCGACATTGATTAAAGTAATAGTGGAATTTGTGAGCAACATTCATCCCCGGAAAACCACGAAGTTTGAGCCCTCGAAAAGATATCATTTTATAGTATGCGTGTTCAGACAGTGTAGTATAAATCTAGCAAAGACAGTTAACTGTGATATTTGCGTGAACTCTTTCTACCAATAAAGGGTTTGTGAGATCACAGCTGGGGACATATATAATATCAAGGTAATTCGGAAAGAGACATAATTTACAAAGGGTAAATGATGATGTATTTGTTGATATTTTCAAGTAGTTCTAAATTATGGTTTAATGTGAATGTAATTTCATTTTTATCAAACCGTGACTGCACCTTTGCGTCCGACAAGAATAGGTGTGGAGAGAGTTCATTCGTGAACTAGATTTGATTTCCTTAAAAACCTTTCACGCCCTAGATGTCTTTTCCCAAAGAACCCTTTTCTGTGAATACTTAAGTTGTAATGAAACAAGTACAATGTTTATGAGGTTAAACTTTGTACGTTGAATATCTTTACTGGGGGGGCATCTGTGCACTCTTACAATGCGTACTACATCAATCAAACGTTAAACATTATGTTCCGCAGGGGGCTGGCTGTTAAAATTATCCGGAGTTAAGTACGTGTACTTTCTGGACTCACTTCCCCTTGGCATATACCTGAAGAGTAGATAATGAGTAATTTTGTCTGATATACACTGTTTCCCATGATATTGTGAGCAGTTAAGGACTTCCTATTTGAATCCCAAACATTAATAAAAAAAATCAAAAGATCGATAATTTGTTTATTTTCCGACGAAAGGGTACCTTTCTGGTTCATTGAAGTAACTTGTGAGGTTTTATATACATCTGTTTCACTATTTCAATGTTTTTTTCTCATTTGAGAGTATTTGTTTTATTTCTGTAATATGGAGGTGGACATGCTTAACCGTATCTGATCTTATACTCCTCGTGAGGTTTCACGGATCTTTGTTTAAATCTTTGTTAAGTTTATAATTAATTGGTCCCCCTGTCACTAAAGTTTTGTTTGAATTAAGATTTTCTTGAAATGCGAGTATTTGCTGTGATGTTTCTGTTACCCTTTGTCAAAATATTCCACATCAGATTAAGTGAAAATATCACATCCTATAAGGATAATGCGTTTCTACTGTTGGCAATTAATGAATTCTGTTAAAATGAGTTTTCGAATTAAATTTTCATGGAAATTGTAAATCTATACACATTTTATTAATCCATTCTATTTTTAGTCGCCGATAATATACAGAGAAAACAAAACCCCGGAAATTACCAACTATACATAACACAAATAGTGCTGTTAGCATTTCTACATCATATAAAAATGAAATAAAATATATCGATACATCTAATTGATAAAGTGAACCTTTCATCTGGTTTTTGATGTTTCTTAAAACCAATTCGAATTTTTCTCAAGTTGCCTCCCAGGCTTCACTATTTACGTCCCTAGCATCACTGACGAGGCATAGAAGGACGAAATAGCTGTATGATGTAGCATCAGTGACGAGGCCTAAAAGGACGAAACAGCTGTATGATGTAGCATCAGTGACGAGGCCTAGAAGGACGAAACAGCTGTATGTTGTAGCAACAGTGACGAGGCCATGAAGGACGTAACAGCTGTATGATGTAGCATCAGTGACGAAGCCTAGAAGTACGAAACGGCTGTATGATGTAGCATCAGTGACGAGGCCTAGAAGAACGAAACAGCTGTATGATGTAGCATCAGTGACGAGGCATAGAAGAACGAAACAGGTGTATGATGTAGCATCAGTGACGAGGCCTAGAAGTGCGAAACAGCTGTATGATGCAGTTTAC